GACTTCGACTAATGGTAAAAGAACCCTCATTTTTAGATCACCCGTCAAAGAGGCGTTGTCTTGAACTCAATAAAGATTCTGGGAATGATTACCGTATAACTGGCCAGCTACTCATATGACGTACATTTTCAGTGCCTGCACTTCCATCTGCCACAGCCCCGATGGTTTACCCTGGCTATCTACCCGGTTGTCAACAATTAACTCCATGGACACAACAATACGATCATGCATGGTACGGTTACGGTCAACAAGATACCGTATCGCCAAATTACTTCTACCAACCGGAAATGGTCCACTACGAGGAGTGGCCACAAATATACCAAAATAATGAAGCTGTATATCCTGCGAATGCCAGCGTACCGGAAAACTAATGTGGAATTGTGTGTTGATTGTAGAGATCGCTTGTCTTATGCTCATTATTTCATGTATGGAGTGGATCATCTGAGTCTTAGCTGAAATTTGACTTTACGTGATATTACATTTATTTATAGTCACAATATTCTCTTCATTTATAAGCAGTCAGTTTGGCAGGAAATCTTCATAATTCATATTGATTCACTATGCTTTATATGGCCATAAGCATGCCAAATGATTCAGACAATAAATTTACGTAAATGTTGTGGTTGCTCAAGAAAATCTAGCATATAAGCTAGATATTCGCGAAGAAAGTTTCATGAAACATGAATGATATTAATGTTGATGAAACTCGAAGATATCAGGCATAACCATTTAGGCATAACCTTTCCCACCTTTGTTATCTCTCTGCTTCTGATAACTTTGCAAAAAAATCACCTTAAGCTTCGAGGTTGAGGTAATTGTGAAATTTTCTGAAAGTTTGAGAAATCTAAAAAGACGATATTGCATGTTAGCACACTGGCTCTTCTTCAATCATTAGTCCCTCAAATTCATTCAAATAAGCAAGAAAACCGAATTGTTTTACAAGTTGACTCCTTCAACTACACAATATGCCAAGCTTCGACTCTGGAAAGTGCCAAATCTAGTATGGCACACAAGTTTTGTTCAACAATTTTCAAAATTTCCGGCTTATCACTAGACCAATTTGCATGATTTTTATTTTATATAAGAGGCGAATATGCGTATTGTAAGGCATCTCACCTTTTTCAACTAGGAATAGATCAGAAAGGAGAAGTTCATGATTTGTTTCGAAATTCGTTTACCAAAATTAGAAACACTGCGGTGATATCGAACAACCTCTATTATAACTTTCATGACCTTCTCCTTCTGATTAAGCGAATTTTACCCCATTTCCAACATTTTTTTGTAGAGATATTGAGAACAATGCCTAAGAAAGGAAAAAGATGGAGGGGGGGGGGGAGAAGCGTTACAGGGAAGGGATCAATCAGTGAGTTTTCATAAATTGCACTACAAAATTTGAAAAGATAGCACTTTATCTGGAAACCAATCCCAGACGAACAAGCCTTTTCAACATGGATAGTAGTGTTTACACTTTATTAATTTGCTCGGGAAGAAAAGTACGTCCACAATGTAGATATCGTCAAGTCACTCGTCATAATATGTGAGTATGCACACAAGTGTCTCCACGGACGGCATTCTTAACATTAACTCCTCGATCAAATCTTTTCTAGCGTATCAAACAGTAAAAGCGCATACTACTAATCAACTCATATCCTATCAAACCCAAAGAGGCAAAGAAACAAGAGAATGGCTGAAATGAGCACGTTCTCATCTTATAGTTTCGTTAAATAGTGCGTATGGTGTGCAGTACGCATATTAAGTCACAAATGACTCGAGTGTATATGCTATCTTACCGTAGCTGCCTTTCTTGCTTTGATCCCCAAATGTGAAAAGAGGCACATAAGCGCTTCCAGTACCATTCGATTGAGGTCCCTCTCTCCTTATGATACTGAAACTTCCTTTTCCATAAAGCGTTCAACATGATCTCTATTCTCCTCGCTATGCGTCTGCTCCTCTAACTTTTTGAAAATCTTGATCTTGCGCTATGATTTACTTGAACAAGCTAAAGCATTCGTGTTGAAGTTTCCCTGGCACGGTCCTTTGCACACAATTAAAATGCTGTATGCTTTCTCCAAACGTTTATAGCCGGTAGCCTTTAGCTTGATTTTATGGACAAGCAATGTCTGATCTATCATAGATAGAAACTTGAATTCCATACGAGAAAAAAACGAAACTTACAGTTCCTGTTCATGCACAAACAAGGGCCTTTCTAATGGCTGGTTTTATGTGTATAGTTCAAACCTCGAAATGGTACCTGTTCCCTGATATATGTTTAGAAGTTGCAAAAATACAAACGAACATGCGTCTGCTGAAGCAACAAGTGAAAGGAAAATGTAGGGCCGAGCCGGTGATCGAAACCGGGACCTCT